GTTGTGGAGCTCGAAATTCTCCTTCCAACAGCGTCACTCCACAGAGCACTTATTTGTAAATAATTGCCACGCCTGTTTTTCACGATTATTCTTCTTAATGCTCTTCGGTCGGCAGTTGTGGTATTACTTTTTTTCACATATCGTGGCTTGATATTAACTGGACTAGTTACCTTATATCTTCTAACAATATTTCTCACACTGTACCGCGATAAGTCTAACAAAGTTGCAATTTCTGAGTTTGATTTCCCAGAATTAAAAAATTTAATTATAAGTAACCCAATTTTTGTCACTAATAACCTTTCCTCTACCCATTTTGAAAACCTTTACTACCCACAACCCTTTTAAACGTATTCAGACAGCTGTGATTAATAAAAACAATTGTCATGGATTTTATTTTTCACAGCCAAATGCTGCAAATTTATATATATTATATAACACCCTGCTACATTTTTATTATTTGTGTTTGATAAGAAAAAAACAGATTTCAATAGTTGGGTCGACTGAAGTGGGAAAGAGCTCGTACAAGTCAGTGAATTTTGATGTTGAACATTGTATATAATAATAATAATAATAATAATAATATTTATTCACTCAATGTACAAAGATAACAAACAATATGAGTAAATAAATATAAAATCAAAACAGGCCCAATAGAAGGCATCGCCTGTACATGGACCAATAAATTTAAGTTGAAACTGTAGAATGCAAATGACAAAAAAGGACAAAAATTAGCTACAGTAGATTATGTATTTAGTTGATGTTCGCATTTATGTGTTTATGAATTTCAGTCCTAGATACAGAATGTAGCCACTTTTTTAAATTTCTTTTGAAACAATTTCCGAAACGTAAATCTTTTAAGTCTTTAGGTATAATTTCATAAAATTTAGGCGCTAAATAGAGATATGATCGCTGCATTATAGATTTATGCGGTTGAGGAACTACTGTGCCACGAATTTTGTACCTGGTATAATGATTATGTTTAATTTTTTGGTCGGTGTTTACAAATTTATGGTAGTGAGTGATACTGTGTAAGAAATAAAGCTGTCTTATATCATACATTCGAACATCTGCGTATAATTTTTCAGTGGGATATAGTTTCGGTTTTTTAAATATCATTTTTAGAATACTTTTTTGGAAAACATCTAAATTATAGATATGTGAGGAACATGCAGCTCCCCATGCTAATATACCATATGTGAGATGAGGCTCAATCAGTGCATGGTATAATGTTCGAAGATATTTTTCTGTCAATATATTCCCAAGGTATTTAATTTTGTAGGATACAAATCTAACTTTCTTTAAAATATAATTGACATGGATGTCCCATCGTAAGTGAGGATCCAAGACCACTCCAAGGTATTTTATGTTGGGCACTCTATTAATTTGCATTTTTTGATCATTAATATTAAAGGAGAAATTTGTGTAATTTGGCAGATGTCTAGCATAAGATCCAAATGGTAAAAAATGTGTTTTAGAGTAGTTAATGCTTAATTTTCTACTGTTAAACCACCGAATAATCTTGATAAAATCATTTTCAATTATATTTTTTAGATCAGACCAGTCAGTGCCTTCATATAATATTGCAGTATCATCTGCAAAACTAGTTATTTTGCCAACACAATTAATTTGGAAAATATCATTTAAATATATATTGAATAACAGCGGACCTAAGACAGTTCTTTGTGGGACACCACACTTAATATACATTTCTTTACTAAATGATCCTGATATCTGCACAGATTGTGGGCGATTTGACAAATAAGTTTCGATCAGTGAGTACCCGTTACCTCTGAAACCAATTCTCTCCAATGCTTCTAATAATAATTTGTGATTAACTGTGTCGAAAGCGTTCTTTATATCAACAAAAATGCAGATTGAAGGGATTCTGTTATCAATATTTTGATGTATTTGATTTACAATTTTAGTTATTGCGTCCGATGTAGCCTTCCCTTCTGTAAATCCATATTGATTTTCACTTAAAATTTTGAATTTTGTGAGGTAATTTTGAGAGGTATCGAATCATTCTAGTAGATAAAACTTTTTCAAAAACCTTTGCTACACTGGATATTATTGATATTGGTCTATAGTTGTTAACATCTGTTTTTGTTCCTGATTTATGTATCGGTATTATATTACCTTTTTTTAAAATTGAGGGATATATGCCAGATTCAAAGCATTTGTTGATTAGATAAGTGAGTGGTTCTGTTATGTCCTCGGCTATAATTTTCAAATGCTCGCCTTTAATACCATCGAACCCAGGACTTTTCCGATTTTTTAAGGACATAACAGTGGTGTATACTTCACATTGCTCGACTTTATCCAAAATAAATGAGTTCAAAGTTCTTTTTGGAGGCTGTGTACTTGAAGAATAATCCTAACTAACCATAGCGTTGTTTGAACAATATTAATGTTTTGCGCTTATTTAGTCTCATCAGTGACATAAAAATTACAACAACCTGTACCTTCGTAATGGGACATTTTAGGACCTATGTTTGTTGAAACTCATTTTTAAGATATTCATGAACTTCTTGTCCAAAATGTGGTGAAGCTCCATCATGTAGGAACCACATATTCTGCCTCACATTTAGACGAAGAAAATCTAAATAAATTTCACCGCGGTGGAAACGAGTAGGGTGCAATAAGCATGCCATTTACCATTTAATGAAAATCTATGTTGTGAATGAGTTCTTTTTACAGCATGCGGATTTTCTACTGCCCAAACATGATTGTTGTGGAAATTGTGCACTCCATTTCGTGTAAATGTGGCCCCGTTTGTACATAAAATTAATTTCGTATAATCTTCGTTTCTGCCGTCGGCAAAATGCATGATGGATGATCTTCAGGTTGTAAAATGACTCAACCTTGAAAACACCCTGTATAAGTTACATTGAATTCCAACTTTTTATCTTTTTAAATTGCGTATTATGACATCGCTTGTTCTGCAATGTTTTCTATCGACAGATCTTCAACGTATAGGCACCACAGGTAGGGGCTTAGCATAGATCCCTGTGGTACTCCGTATCGTTGGTGGTATATTGTTTTTGAAGTGTATTTGTCGGATGATCAAATAGTTTTCTATAATCTTGATAACATTGTTAGGGATCTCTGTTTGTTGTAACTTATAAATCAGAGCACTATGAGTGATGCCACGCGATGTCGCTATCCAAGTGCAGCTGTAATGACTTTACCTGTTCGGAAAAGTTACGTTTGTATTCTCTTGCCGTTGATATTCTGGAATGATTTTACTGAGTAAATGGAGCTCAACTTTTCCGGCCAATTTACAAATTATATTGACCAAAGTGGTTGGCCTATATGATTCTGGAAGTCTACTTCCCACTTCAGTTAGCCCAACTATTGAAATCTTAGTTTTTTTCTTATCAAAAACAAATAATAAAAATGTAGCATGGTGTTATAGGTTTAAAATATTAACAATGAATATTTTGATAATATATAGTAGAAGACACCAACTTTATCACTCCCTAATCAAATTTGCAGAATAAAAATAACACATGTTGCAATTACAGCATATCGACCTATTTTCATTTCAATGCAAAATAAGTCTACAGGTATAACGCATACGTGGCTGTGAAAAATAAAAGCCATGACAATTGTTTTTATCAATCACAGCTGTCCGAATACGTTTAAAATAGTTTTGGGTAGTTAAGATTTTCAAGAAGGGTAGAGGAAGGGCCATTAGTGAGAAAATTCGGTTACTGATAATTAAATTTTTTAATTCTGGGAAATCAAACTCAGAAACTGTAACTTTGTTAGACTTATCGCGGTACAGTGAGAGAAATATTGTTAGAAGATATAACGTAACTGGATCAGTTAATATTAAGCCACGATATGTGAAAAAAGTAATATCACAAATGCCGACCGAAGAGTATTAAGAAGAATAATCGTGAAAAACAAGCGTGGCAATTATTTACAATTGAGTGCTCTGTGGAGTGACGCTGTTGGAAGGAGAATTTCGAGGTCCACAACTCATACAGAGGCCCACAAAACTGGGATTTAGCACTTGTAAGGTAAGTTTTCTTATAAGAAAAAGTGAAGTAAAAACCCTAAAGTTGCACAACTTGTTTATAGGCCACTATTAACTCCACTGCAAAAGAAAAATCGGCTTAGATGGGCTAAAGAACATAGAAATGGACATCCCAACAATGGTGTGCAATACAATGGAGTGATGAGGCTCGATTCGAAGTTTGTGTTGGTGACAGTCGCAGTAGAGTTATTCGCAAATTCTGAAGAGCAAAGTGAAATTTCCAGCATCCATTATCGTCTGGGGCAGAATATCATCAAAACGAGTAGGAAAACTTCGTTTTATTGATGGAAATGTGGATACAAACAAATATTTGACAATTTTAGAAGAATCGCTTTTACCAGTGATGGAAGAATGTTTGACATCCAGCCAAGATTTTGTATTTCAGCAAGATGGTGCAGCGTGACATACCTCAAACAAAGCTATAAAATGGATGGAAGTTAATAATGTACCTTTTTTAAATGGGTTTCTAGCAGTCCAGATCTGTCACTTATTGAAACTTTGTGGCATGAGATGAAAAAGTTTCTACGACAACATCCTGCTCGTACAATCACCGAACTGAGACAAAAGCTTCAAGAAATATGGGATTGTTTTACACCAAATTTTTTCCTAAACTTGGTTAACACCATGCCCCAAAGAATTTCAGCCGTAATAAAAAATAAAGGTGATGTTACCCAATGGTAATCTTTCAATTGTTGCTTTGTTAACTTCGCGCATTTATTAGCACATTGTTTATTTGTTCTACTAGTTATAGGTCTAAGTATTTTAAAAATTTATTTTTTACGACTAGAGTGTATCTAAACTGTTTTTGAGAAAATAAATTGTTTTAGAAGTAAATAGTTTCGTCATGTTCAGTTTATAAAGGCATATTTTGGTACAAATCTTGAAGTGGGCCAACTGAAGTAGGATATTTACCACCTGTATTCATACTCAACAACGAAACGAGCACTCTCCTTTCCAGAGCAGATGACAGAACTCTACCGAAATGTCCGGACTTGCTACCCAAATGAACATCTTCTCGGTAACGAGAACGATGTTGACGTTGGGCCCAGCTCTGGGATTTCTTGTCTACATGTATTCGAGTATCTTGACTATGAGGCAAGATATCGTCGACAGAGACAACAGGGTCAAAGATGTTCCACTAATCGAGCTACGGAAGTCCTACGACTTTATCGTAGTAGGCGCGGGGAGTGCCGGAGCTGTTGTAGCTAATAGGTAGGTTTATTGTCTGTCTATATTTACAATAAGTCATGTAACGGGTGATTTTTTAAGGTATAGGATTTGATTTAAAAACGATTAAATCTTTATTTGAGTCGATAGAACGGTCGGATATAATTTAATGTTTAAAGATTATTTCATGTAAATGTTGGCCGCGGCTCCGTTTTAGATGGCCCATGCGCAAGGTGCAATTTTGGCACACTCTCTCCAACATATCGGCCGGTTTCTCACGAATAAATGCTTCAATATTGGCTGCCAGTACGTCAATCGTTGCTGGTTTAAGCCTGTAGACATTAGCCTTAACATGGTCCCACAAGAAATAGTCCAACGGCGTTAAATCACACGATCTAGGCGGCCAATTGACGGGCCCCAAACGTGACACCGAACTCGCCTCTCAATAGGGCCATTGTTTCGTGTGCGGTGTGGCATGTGGCACCGTCTTGTTGAAACCACATGTCAGCCAAGTCCAGCTCTTCCATTTTGGGCAAAAAAAAGTTTGTTATCATCGCACGGTAGCGCTCGCCATTCACAGTTACGTTCCGGCCATTGTCGTCTTTGAAGAAGTACGGCCCGATGATGCCACCGGCCCATAAATCCACACCAAACAGTGATTTTTTCGGGATGCATCGGTAGCTCTTGCAATGCTTCCGGCTGGTCTTCACTCCAGATGCGGCAATTTTGCTTGTTAACGTACCCATTCAACCATAAATGAGCTTCGTCGCTGAACACAATTTTTCGATAAAAATGTGGATCTTCCTCCAACTTTGCCAGCGCCCATTCACCAAATTGGAAACGTTGTGGGAGGTCGTGTGGCTTCAATTCTTGCACCAGCTGTATCTTATAAGGTTTTACACCCAAATCCTGTCGCAAAATTTTCAACGTAGTGGAGTAACAGAGGCCCAATTGCTGCGAACGGCGGCGAATCGACATTTCACGGTCATCACTAACACTGGCGGATACAGCCGCAATATTTTCTTCAGTCCTCACTCTACGTCTGCGTGTTGGTGGTTTAATGTCCAATAATGTAAACTGGGTTCGAAATTTAGTCACAAGCTTCCGAACAGCTCCCTCAGTAGGCCGACCAAATTGCCCATGAATTGGAAGCAGTGCTCGATGCACTTTCTTAACCGAGCATGAATTTTGATAGTAAAATTCAATAATTTGCAAGCGTTGTTCGTTCGTAAGTCGATTCATGGTTAAATTATAGACCAAACTGAACAAGTTTGACAATGACACAAGACACGATTCACGCGTCATCTGTCAAAAACAGTGTTGCCAAAACAAAAAATGACAGTTAATTGCAATTGCTTGTGCCTGTCGTAGACTGCCTGTTTTTTTGGTTTTAGTACATTTGTGCAATTTTTATGATTTTGTACTGATAGCTGCAAATAAATCCTATCATTACTATCATTTAGAAGAAATGTAAAATTATACAGGTGGTTTCTATTCCAGGCTGAGTGAAAACCCATACTGGAATGTTCTGCTGATAGAAGCAGGGCCAGATGAAGTCACGCTAACAGACTTACCTCTGTTGTTTCCGACTTTGCAATTAACGTTCCTCGACTGGCAATATAAGACAGAACCTGGCGCGAACTATTGTCTCGGCCTAACGAACAAGCGTTGCAACTGGCCAAGGGGCAAAGTCCTGGGCGGTTCCTCGGTGCTAAATGCTATGTTGTACATCAGAGGAAATAAAAAGGATTACGACAGGTAGGTAATCACATAGGGCTATCTATGTACTCAGGAGAGTGGTAAAGTCTCCGATTTGTGGGCAATTTCACCAACATTAATATTATGGACCAATGGGAAAATACCTTATCGAAATGCAATTTGACAGAAGCTGTCAAAGGTCTCTGAATATTAGTGATTTCTATTGAAATATTGAATAAAATCGTGAAAATTCGAGTGTATTATAAACAAGACCACTTTTGATTCCAACATGATGCTTTTGTACAGAAAAAACAGGACAACTTTCATGTATTTTGATATATGTTATAGGTTTACATTTAACAATCCGTTATCCCCTCAGCGAATTGGAATGCGGCAAATAATAGGTCGATTTTCTAGCTGTTAAATTTGACAGCAGATTTGGACGTTTGTTAATGCATGGCACTCTCGAATTTACCAACTTCAATATACTGAAAGTTATCATTACATACCTGTTGAGTAGTGTGGATTTGTCTGTATTTTGCAAGAAAATAGAATATAAAATACATTCCATCCAATTCCTCATCTTCATTTACGTCATAATAGTAATCATTTATAAATGTATGGGTTAATGAATTTCTTTAAAGCAATAAAAACATTATGGCCTCTCCATCCTAAAACACAGATAATATGTGTAAGACGTGTCAATCCCTACATCTCCCTGATGCATTATGCAATTACTATGGACATAGACAAAAAATTATGAAAAATGTTTCACAAATAATGTCTTTTAAGTCCAAAATCATAAAAACTAGTAATGTTTAATGTTTGTCTTTTTGACTGGCGAGGATATCTACTGTCAAGATGTATAGCCCAAGGTACCGACGGAGCTATTTTGCGGCGTCATGGAACTAATTTTAAATTTTCATTTGCATTTTTTCAAGTGTTGTGCAATGATTTTGGGAAAAATGTCACGAATAGTCTTATAAAGCATAGTATACGTAGAGTACAGTTCAACAGTTGGCGGAACTTACTCCACTGGGACCAGGAGGGTGAAACGGGATATTAATGCACAATCTGGCAACCCTGTCGCACCCTCACAAAATGGCCGCTGACAACCACACAAGTCACCGTGTTGTCATTGAATAGCATGGAATCAAACCTTCAGAGTATATGTTTTGCGACTGGTACTAAGGGTTGACAGATCCCACACATGTGTCACTCCTTGAAATGCAATAATCATGTCTAATATAAATATAACCTAGAATGTGTACTCGTGAAAAAAGAAAAATATGGCAAATTTGTAGTTTTTTTTGCAGGTTTTTGCTGGTAGCTTTTAAGGCATATATTTGGGAATTTCTTAATCGCTGTGAATATAGTGTGGATGTTTGTTCACTTCCTGAACAACGAAAAATATTCAACTTTATGGATGTATGAATATCAAAAAACCTGAATGGTTTTGTGGGAATATCAATCTAAGGTGCCATAATGGTTCTGATGAACGGCAAGTAAATGAATGAATGTTTGGAAACGAGCAATATCTTTTGGTAGAGCGTGTCATCAAGTAGGTGCTTAATGGCTATCTGCAAGAGGTTTATAGGAAAAAACACCCAGTATCGCATATCAATCGAAGAAAATAATATAAACATGAATAAAAAATCAACAATAGTAATTAAAACATGAATTTAATTAAAAAATCAAACATTTCTTAAAATTTTGACTGAATTATATGTAATTTCTTAATATTCAATAAGCTGGTGATATTTCAATGACAAGTTGTCATCTCATATTTTGACAGTATTTTGTTTTCAACATTTCATAGCTATTGGTTGCTAAAATTTATTGATTGGAACTTGAAGCTCTTTCGCAGTATCTGACGGTCTGTTACCCTATAGGTGGAGAATAACGTTGGTGAAATTGGCTAATTTTGGCGTATTTGGGAATCACATATACTTTCAAAAATAAATTTTGCTGTTGAACGTTTCAGATGGGAGCAACTTGGAAATCCCGGATGGCGCTACGAAGATGTTTTGCCATATTTCAAGAAGTCAGAAGATATGAGAATTCCAGAATTACGCGATGACCCCTACCACGGCAAAGGTGGATACTTGTCAGTTGAAAATTTTAGGTAAGCATGGAACAGCAGAACAACCGTTCAGAGATAGAGTGCCAAGATTACATGAAACTAATTTGTGACAATTTCCAATATCCCGCCTACAAAAAAAAAAAGAATTCTGAGAGATATAATAAACTCCTGTATTTTAGATAGAGAATTTTCACTCATGGAAAATTGCCAAAATTATACCAATATCATAGAAGTCTGAAATTAACGACTACAATGATCTACGCCCCATAAGTATTTTACCAGTGCTATCAAAACTAATGGAGATTATATTGGACCAACAAATAAGATATTACCACAGCCGACGTCAACTACGAGCCGTGAACAAAGAAATCTGGCAACGTAGGTGGTAGTGTTACTCCCGCCGCTGCTTGCTGCATCGACGCAACTCGTGCTCAAAACGCTGAGAAAACATAACCTTTTCAATTTGTGATTTTGGAATCCCAGAGACTGTAATTAAGAGATAAGCTTGTTTTCTAAGCTTCAAAGTGTGTGTATGTGTTCAAAGTGATCGGTGACTATAATATATGAGAAATAGACTCCAGTTGTAGTGCTTCTGTGCTTTAAAAATAAACTAAGAAGTATGACTGTGGCTGTTCGCGCCTCAGGACGCTAAGGATTTCAACTATTGAAAACGTGCAAATTCAGGTTGTATTTTTCTTTTTTCATTTATCAAGTATTTGACGCAGACAATATGCCTCGTTGTTGCTGTGTTCCTTTATGCAATGCAAACTAAAATTCTGCTTTGAAAACAGAAAGCTATGTTTCAACTTTTCGCTTCCCAAGTACCGAAAGTCTGAAAAACAAATGGCTTATGGCAATTCCCAGAAAAAATTGGACACCTTCAAAATATTCAGCTGTGTGCAGTCGTCGTTTTAGAGAATCGGATATCATCAGGACAGAAAATATAGTTTTGGCGGATGGAACAGTCCAAAATAATATACCTTTGAAATATCCAAAATTGAAAGAAAATGCTGTTCCCTCCATTTTCCCAAACTTGCCATCATATCTTTCAAAAACTGAAGCACCCAAAAGAACTGACCCAATGCAAAGAAAACAAAAATTAATTGAGAAACATGAAAAAGCTATCCAGAATTTCGATGATATGGACAAGATCAAAGATAAATTTAGTTCAAAAATGTGGATTTGAAGTTATTTGTGTTGTTACTGATAATCACCGAATTAATAGAGCAATGTTCAGGAAATTAGCAAAGAATTCATCAGAAAAATATTTTATCCCAAATCCACATAATCCTGATAAGAACATATATTTAACTTATGATGTTGTGCATATTTTCAAGAGTATCAGAAATAATTGGATTAATTTAAAAAACCTAGACAACACTTTTGTATATCCTAATTTTGACAATAATGATATTATTCAGTATGCTAAATTTGAAAACATTCGCGCTGTATATCAATTGGAAAAAGAAGCGGTAGTTAAGAAAGTATATAAATTAAATTATAAAACATTGCATCCAAATTCATTTGAAAGGCAAAATGTAAATTTTGTAGATAATTTATTCCATCACTCAACAATAGCTGCTATGAAAGAATTAAAGTTTAATGATGCTGCACACTTTTTGGAAATAATCAGGAATTGGTGGGATATTGTCAGTAATACAAGTGTAATAAAAGGAGAATTGAAACGAAACGAATTTTGTAAGCCTATTACCAATAAATATGATTATAGAGTACACTTTTAAAAAAAATCCTGATATGGTTTGAAAAATGGCATAATCTAGAGAATAATAATGGACACCTGACACCAGAAACGTATACAGATCTATATCAAAGCACGCTGACTCTACTTAATATAATTGAATATTCATTTAATCAATTTGACATTGAGTATGTATTTCCTGGAAAATTCACCACTGATAATTTAGAAAAACGATTTGGCAATTATAGACTTTTATGTGGCTGCAATTACAATGTGTCATATGATGAAATTTTAAATGCTGAAAAGAAAATACGGCTGAAGCATATTTTCAATGAAAAGAAATCGTCATTTCTTTAGCAGAAATTAAAACAAGGTTCCAAAACTGCTTAGAAACTCAAGAAAATTTTGATTTCTTGGATACCAAACAAAATCCTGAAGTTTTGGATATATTCAATGAAGTATTTGAGACAAATTACTTAGCCAATTGTGACATAGAGAATAGTACTAAGACATATATCTGGATATGCTTCACACGCTATCTCTAAAAACCTAAACTGCGAGATATACAAATCGCTAATAGTTAAAGAAAAAGGTTCATTAACAACAAATGTTTATTTTGATCATTTGCAAAGAGGAGGACTGTCAATTCCAACCAGTTATGTACCAATCATATTCTACCATATGTATGCCATTTTTGAATCTATTATTAATGTAGATAGATTGGAAATTTTCTTCTTGAAAAGCAATAATCAAAAATTTATTTTGTGTCAGTTAACCTTGCTCAGCATTCAGTCTGACTTTATATACAGTGAATTTTCTTTAACTTGCATCTGTGGCCGCAATTATGCAGATATTTTATCTAAGCTTTTGTCTATTTTTTCAAACATAATTTTGAATGATTAAGTAAAATTGAAAAATAACAGTAAAACTGAAAGTAAATGTATTAAAAACAAACAGGTAACTCCACATTTCCAAGCTGGGCCTGTTGGAACACAGTGTGCTGACACCAAAAAACGTAAACTAAATACTTTTAATTAGGTTAACTGCATTAGCGACTCATATATATCACGATTATTTCGTATTTTTAAATTTTTTAGAGCTATTTCATATTCAGACGATTTGTATCGAATCGAACTGTCCTCTTTTCCAAAATTAAATTTAGTTCTTGAACGATACACGGAGACGGAGCACACAGCCGCTGGCGGCCGACGTTCACAGGTAGCACTACCATGCCGTCCGAGCGCGGTGTTGCCTTTCTTTCATCACGTCTCGTAGTTGACGTCGGCTGTGATATTATATATTATAACTAATTTGTTACCAGACCATCAATCGGGATTTAGGAAAGGATTCAGCTGCGCACTGTTAAATATAACTGACGACATCTTCAAAGCAACAGATTCCGGAAAAACCTCCGCTCTCGTGCTCTTGGACTACTCCAAGGCATTTGATAAGCTAAATCACGAAATGCTGTTTGGTATTTTACACTATATAGGGTTTTTCGAATCTGCTAGCACGCTTATGTGCCACTATTTAACTAACAGAACACAATATGTAGAAACAGATAAAGGTATGTCCTCCAAAGATGTCATCCCATCGGGTATTCCACAAGGCTCCATTTTAGGACCTCTGATTTTTAGTATTTATACCTCAAACCTTTCCCAATGTCTCCGAAGTTGTCAGGTACATTTGTATGCTGACGATACTCAGCTTTATTTTTCTCCCAATCCTAACGAGAAACGTGATCCATTATTAGTCTAGATATTGAAATATTAGTTGTATTTTCGGAAAATCATGGTCTACAGATTAATGCAAGCAAATCACAACTCATGTTATTTGGCAGATTGAAATACAATATTGAGCCCGCTTTTCATGTCAAAATAAAAAGTGAATCTATACCTTGTCCTGCCACTGTGAGAAATTTGGGAGTAGAATTTGACTCATATCTAAGATTTAAGCCTCATATTAATAAATGTATCCAGAAAGCTGCTCATCGATATGTCCTCCATGTTAAACTTAAAATATTGCTTTGCAAAACAATTTTTTTTATGTTTTTCGCCATCTATATGTTGCTGTATGCTAAAGAATCCTCTGGAAATGTGAACCACTTTAAGACAAACATTGCAAAGAAGTTCAGTTTCACTGTGCTTTATGACCCAATGTGAAATCAAATAATTATTGCTGTCTTTCTTCTTCAACCATTCTTCTTAGAAATTAAGACATTTTGTCACCATTCTACTAAAATCAGTCATATTTTCCCATGTAATAGCTAAACCAAGTACCTATTTGAGAGCATCCAGAAATAATTCCTAAATTACAATTTTTCCGATTTTTGGTTACTAAATTTGATTTTTCTGTTACAATGGAGTAAAAATACAACACTTAATATGTAATTTTAAACTGTGTAGTCATCATTATAAACTCTATATAAACAAGGTTTACAATGATGACCACTTCCTGAAAAAAATGTTGCTAACACAGCCAAAAAATCGGTCATATTTCCCATGTAATAGCTAAACCAAGTACCTATTTGATAGCAGCCAGAAATAATTCCTAAATTACAATTTTTCCGATTTTTGGTTACTAAATTTGATTTTTCTGTTACAATGGAGTAAAAATACAACACTTAATATGTAATTTTAAACTGTGTAGTGATCATTATAAACCCTATATAAACAAGGTTTACAATGATGACCACTTCCTGAAAAAAATGTTGCTAACACAGCCAAAAAATCGGCCGGAGCAACGTAAAATTCCCTCAGTTGATCTTCATTGGGAAAAAAAATTAAAAATATGACGATTTTTCTAAAAATATGAAGTTTTATGAAACTTAAAAAAAATATGACAAATATGAATCTGTTCCGGACCCTGAGCATTCCGCCGTTTGGTTCGTAAAATAATATCTGGGTTTTTATCTATGATGCCTGTACTATACTATCTATAAAAAACCAGTCCGAGAACGGTCCGAGTCGGAGCAGCTGTTCCGTTTCTCGGTTGCAGGCCCAATCTCCTTGAACATAGGCAACATTTATAACACTATGTTTTTATAATCTTTTTTCCAATTTGTCGATAGATATTGAAATGTAAGATCAACATATTATCAATATAACATCAATATTTGAGTATTCGGATATTATTGTATGATAGGACTATCAAATTATTACTTTTAAAAACGACTTGGCAAGTCACGTTTTTATACGTTGCTTCCACAAACTTTGTAGCGGTATGTATATATACCGCACGAGCGTAGAGTGAGGTGGGGAGGTACGAAGTCTCTGGGGAAAACAATATAAAAACAACACAAAAACCAACATCTGTCTGTAATTCTTTCACGAAAAATCGTATT